AGGCCGAGCGGACGGATTACACGTCGGGATTATAACGTTAGGACACGGACCGGACTCTGTTCTTCTGCCTTTATGACCGGACTCTGGTTAAATACGTTAAACGTGGTCATTAGACGGCGTGAAAACGTGCAGACGGAGGATTAAAGGTCCAGAACTTAACTTCATGCATAATATCACACACATGAACACACCAGGAGCTAATTCGCTTCGTTACAATAGAATAGAATAGAACAGAATAGAATAGAATAGAATAGAATAGAATAGAACAGAACTTTATTGATCCCTTTGGTGGAACCTCGGGGAAATTGTTGAGTTTTTGTTGTTATGGTGAAAAATTTATTCTTACTCACTTTTTGCAATAAAAGAAATCCTGCATAAAAACATGATCGTTTTTTTGCTTTTCTACAAATGAAAAAAGCATCTTTCATACTTTACATAAATAAAATGTGGACTGAAGGAGAATCAGTGAAGTTCTCCTTAACTACATTATCAGAAGCTGTGTTTTATGCTAACGTTAGCGGATGACGTCCGTTCATTTTTAGCGTGAAATAAAATTTAATTTGCTTCTCGAGGAATCGCTTTTTCGCCCAAATGCTTTAGATTTTCTCAGATAAACAGTCTAATAATGTTGATGTTGTAGTTTTTACTCCTCATATCACTGCTTTGTGTATTAAATTCTGTATTTTCCCTGTTTTTGTTGACGCATTTGGCAGGAAACGAAAGCCATCAGGACCGTTAGGCCGAAGAGTTTTCCCGCCATAAATTCCCGCCATTTTTGAAATCCCATCCCTTAAGACTTTAATTTCTTACAATCACTGATATTTTTGACACCACACAGAGAAAAACTGCTGTGATCTCAGTCAGCAATGAATATTGGAGAGCGACACTAGAAGCGTTTTGCATAAACAGTCATTTCTGATGCAGAAAAAATGACAAAATTGGTGCAGAAAACGTGAACAGGTTGAAGAAAATAAAGCGTTTGCTGGTCAGAATTTCCTGGAAGACGTCTGCAGCTTCCACAAAACGTTCAACCAAATTCGCTTATTTCACATTTTCAGCTTCTAGATTGTCTTTTAAACTTTGGCAGCTCCAAAACAATACAAAACTGAGAACATAAATAATATAAAAGACAAGTTTCTTTATCAAATGGTCTGAAATAACAGGACAAAGTTTAGATTTGTTTCAAACTGTTGGAGAAAAATTCAACAGGATGAAGAAAATGAAGTCTTTGATTCTTGAAGTTTAAACCTTCTTCAGAGGTGTCGAATAATTAATCTGTAGAAGAATAAACATGATGTTCTTCAGAGGTAATATTCATGGGACTCATTTTTAGAATTGCCTTAATTGCATTTTTTAAAATAAATTCCCCCAATAATGATAAATTCAAAACCAGAAACACAGGAAACCAAAACAGTTTACTTTCAGAGTTTTTATTATCAACTTGTGACGTATTTACAAACCAAGCAGCAGCAGAACAGGACGTTACAGAAGTGAAACGCAGAGAGACGAAACCGCCGATACAAAAACCCAAACACCACTTTTAAACACTTTCCTGAATCCTCAGAAACAGAACAATCGATTCGCTCTTTAGTCGCCTGTAGGTGGCGTTCCAGCGCAAACCATCAAACTTTCACCACAAATTTCTGCTCTGAAATTTTTACAGCATAAAATATGAACATTAATAAAGACGTTAGTGCAGTTTTATCCTCATACATTAGACGTGTTCAGAGACACAGAACTTTAAAGAAAACTTCTACTTTCAGCAGCTGCTTGAACAAGAACATCTGAGGAACGAGTGAAGATAAAAACCTGAAATGTTCACGGTTATTTCTCATCATATCACTGATTTAGAGTCCAGTACGTATAATAATAAACTGTCTACCAGCATTTTGTGTTTTTGTGCTTCAGCGTCTCGTCAAACCTTCTCCATCAGTTACGAACCTTCAACCAAAACAACTGATTTTTTCATCGATGTGAGCAAATATTTAATACAACTGTTGAAAGAAAACATCTTCCTTTTCATGTCTGTGACCCAGAATTTCATATTTAAATGTTCTACATGTCTAATTTTTTATTATGAAGACCTGCAGCTACACGAGGTTCAGACATCACCTGTTAAATTCTGCTTCATCAGTTTGTTTTTTACTTTAATGAGCTCAAAGATGGAACTTCAGCTATTTTATTCAACATATTTAAACTCATAAATAATCAAAGATGATTAAATCTACTTGTCTTAACGACAGATTCTGAATCAGCGACACGATGAGACGTAAAAGTTTCAGGTTTTTTTCTTTAATAGTTTCTGAGATATTGTTGATCAAACATAAAATCTCAACATATCTGAAAGTATTTGATCCATGAAGCTGAAATTTCACCAGTTTCTTGATAAATATTCATATTTTTTGCTGTAAAGTGTCGGTCGAGCAGAACCTGTTGTAAAACGTGATGCTTTGAGCTGGAATAACCCACAAACCAACACCGTGGCACAGAGTTTGGTGTCCTGGAGCCTCCAATGTGGTCAGAACAAGAAAAAAAAAAGAAACTGCAGTTTGCGTTTCTAACACCTGATGTCTAATACCAGATGTTCAGGTTCAAACACTTCAGAGGAACAAACGGCTTCATGGAAACATCAGATGTTCACCTCAGACTAAAAACAGGGAAACGTTTCAACCCTCTGAACTCCACCAGGTCGCTTCATCGCTTCGTTGTTTTAACCAGAAACCTGAATCCACACGTCCAGGATCCAGCTACAGGTTCAACCAACGCTGGAGGAGAAACAAGAGGCTCCACGAACTGGAGATGTTTTACCGTCTAAATTTGTCTCTCGTCTCGTCACAGCTTCACGGTTTGTGCAAAGAAGTTCAGAATTCTATGTTTTTTACAGAACAAGAGCTTTTTTTTGGGTTGTTTTGGTGAAACTTCTTCAGCCTCCGTTTGGCTCATTTTCCCAACGAGCTGCTCTGATGCATCCATAAGGTTTAAACCAGATGATTCTTTCTGTTCTCTTTAGTTTCTGGCTGATGGACGGGTGTTTGTTTAAAGAAACCGGGTTCTGTGGTTCTGTAGTTTAACCTAAACTCTCTGACTTTGGGTCTCAGCCGAGTCGGTCGTGGAGAACCAGCAGGAACAAGATGCTCAGAATTTGTCGTCTTTTAGTGCAATCGCTTTTATTTTTGGCACATTTTTTGTTGAATAAAGTGATTTAGACGAAACACGCGTTCACCGGTTTGTTCAATGTTGGAAACTCTTTCTGTTTTTGCAGCTTCTGATAGATTTTGTCATTTTGATGATATTTTTAACGATAACGTTCCTTTCACACCTGCTGGTTTTGGGGTTCAGAGGGTTTAAACTGAAAGCTCACCCCTGAATAATATT